CTTTAGGCACAAGACCACCTTTCCCCGTACTGTGTGCTCGCATGCCACATCAGCATCCACATGTGCTTCGGTTAATTTCACAACACGCATAGGGTAATAATAACAACACCTAGCTCTCATATAGCACTTTTCAGCAGCAGACCTCAAAGCATGTTCCCATTTTACAGATGTGGATACTGAGGCATGGGCAGCTGAGCTGCATTAGCATTACATGGAACGCTGGCTGGCCCCTGGGATGCAGTATTTATGTTCCTTTAAGTTACCTGCAGTGTTTTAGTTGGAAGCTCAAGTGTCCCCAGCTGTCCCCTCCCCAGGCCAGGAGAGCAGGTGACTGGTGTGAATGTTCACACTTATCCCTGTTGACACTTGTAGCCCTTTGCAGTTTCTCCCCCCTCCCTTGTGAGTTGGGGTCACTTGATCCATTTTGGATAGCACATCATCCGTAGGCTTCTTAGCTCACTTTACAGAAACAGCTTCTGCAAATAGCTGAAACAGTTGCTGGGGTGAGTCCTTGCTTAACTCCAGGCTCACTTGCTATAAAAGTATCTATTTTCATACAACTAGAGGCTACCCCAGCCCAGTCAGGCCGCTCTGGTTTCAAGCTGCAGACGGAGAGATGCAACGTAGACGTTCCAACTCAGGCTCCGAGCCAGCTGTCGTCACCAGAGAGTTAAATTCACAAGGGTTCACGTAAACCCAAACCCTCCAAGGTTTGCAAAGCCGAAACAGCTGCATTGTACGCTAGTTCCACCAGAGACTGTGTACTACCCTGCTTTACGTAGGGACCTACGACTGGAAGGGGCCGCTTGGGCCACTGAGTCCAATCTCAGCTATTGCGGGCAATCCCATCATATCATCCAATTCATATACTGATCAAGTTCCATCTTAAAACTAGTTTGGTTGTTTGCCCCCTCCCTCCTGCTACTTTCGGGGGGGAGGAATTCCCCTGTTCCAGACCCTGATTCTTCTGATGGTTAGGAACCTTCTAATTGACAACCTCAATTTATTTGTGGCCAGTTTATCCCCATTTGTTCTTGTGCTAACATTATCCTTTAGCCTCAATAGCTCTTCTCCCTCCCTGGTGTTGCCCCCCCCCCATGTATTTATAGAGAGCAATCAGTTCCCTGCTGAATCTTCAGGTTTGTCAGCATCAGAAGCTGTGCTGTTTGTCTACCTTGTGTGTTTCATTGACCTCAGGCAGAGAAATGAGGCAGGTCAGTTTCCCTTTGGTTGTTAGTTTCCCTTCCTGGGTTTCATGCACTACTACAAGGCTGCAATGTTTCTGCTGCAAAGATAGCAGCAGAAAGTTTAAACCAAAACAAAAATGTTTTATTGTTGTTTTTTTAATGGCATCAGATGTCTAATAATTTTAGGTTTGGCTAAAAACCTCACTTTTGGGGGCAAGAAGGGGTGGTTGGGCATTATACACAAAACCAGAATTTGTAGCCTAAAGAGTGTTGCTAACTCATGATTTTATCATGAATCTCACACTATTTAGTGTTTTCTTTAAAGCCCCAACTCCTGGAATCATGTGATTGTATGAAAACCTCAGCCATCATTTAAAAGAAAAGGCAATGTTCTAGCCCTGAGGCCTGCAGAGAGAACTTGGAAATGTGACACAAATGCATCCTAAAGGGTTGAAAACCAGAGGGAAAATAAAAACCACACCACGTTATTTTAGGTTTAAAAATCCTGAGATTTAAAACAATCTCATGATTTCTGGGGCCTCACTCGTGATTTTTGAATGCTTGAGGTTAACTGTGCTGCCGGACAGCAGGCACTTGTGACTCATTTTGGGCCCCAAATCTAGAGGTACAAAAACTAAAGTTGTGGATACGTTTTCCTGATATTTTTAAATGGCAGTGACATTGTATTCTGCTTAGCACAACGAGCTCGTGAGGTGCTCTCTGGCCAGGCAAAGACAAGGGGCCAAAGTCAGTAGTGATGCATAAGGGGGTATAAATTCGATCCATACACCCTGCCTATTCCGCTAACTCAGCTTCCCAATGGAGCTATTTACACTGAGTTGCTTGGATGTGTTCTTATATAGCCCACACCTTAGTGCCTGAGCACCTCACAGACAGTGACAAGCTTGTCTTCACAACACCGTTGCAAGGTGCGGTTACAGTAGACTGACACAGGCCGGGGAGCTGTGACTGCACCAGCCCAGGGCGAGTGCTGCTTACCCGCCCCTGAGAGCAAGGCGGAGCCATGCTTTGCTGCAAGGAAAGGGAAGTTATTATCCCCATTATACAGATAGGGGAAGTGAGGCACAGAGAGGCTAACGCCAAGATCCACAAAGGTATTTAGGCTCCCAGTTCCCCTAATTTCAATGGAAAGAAGCCTAAATACCTTTGTGGGTCTGGACTGCAGTGACTTGCCCAAGGTCTCACACCACACACAGGCTGTGATGAAGCAGAATTGAATGCCAATTTTCTGAGGCCCAGCCCAGGATTTTCACCACAAAATCATCCTTGGGAAAGACCATGTACGCTAGGCAGCCCACCTTAACACAACACGAGATGGCTGGGCAGCAAGTGAGTACATGAGCTTTTAAAAATATACCGTATATCTCTAATGTGCTGCTCTCTTCACTTGCTTGTGGCCCCTCCAGATCACTTTCCCCATCACGTCTCTCACTTTAGCCTTGCACTCGCACTCCAGGGCTACCACTGTTCCTGCCTCCCAGCGGTGGAGCGGCACTGTCCAGAACTAGTGTGACAGCCTGAGGCTTTCTGAAAAACACCAGGGTCTCATGACTTTTCTTCTCTGATCTATTTTAAACCTCGGGAGGGAGGCTGGTACTTGTGAACTTGCTGATGGTAAATGATCTCTGTCCTTATCCTTTGCCATTCAGCGAAGAGTGCAGCCCACGAGGGATATATAAATCAGGAGCCAAGACACTCGGCTCACAGAGGATGGCAAGGAGCGGCGTGCACTCAGCCTGCTGCATCTCTAAGGTAAGGCTAAGCGTTCACAGTTGCTGTGGGTTATTATGAGTGGGTCGAACCCTGCAGGTCTTGCTCTGCGTCCTCATTCCTCACCCATTGCCACCAGGATCTATCTACCTAGGTGCGGGTGCTGCTCTCAGTCCCATTGGGGGGGAGGGATAGCTCAGTGGTTGGAGCATTGGCCTGCTAAACCCAGTGTTGTGAGTTCAATCCTTGAGGTGGGCCATTTAGGGATCTGGGGCAAAAATTGGGGATTGGTCCTGCTCTGAGCAGGGGTTGGACTAGATGACCTCCTGAGGTCCCTTCCAACCCTGATATTCTATGATTCTATGAGAGCGTTGCCTATGTGAAGGCTGACTAAATAAGTGCCCCCATTTACATCTCAGCAGCCCCACTGCAGAAAGGGCCGGCTCCAAAGCCCCCTGAAGGCAATGGAGATTTGAAGGAGCTTTTGACCAGGTCCTAAGAGTGACCGTGCAGGGCAGAGGCTGGTTTAGGGTTTGTGCTGTATGCAGCTCCCTTTCTGTCATCCCCAAACACCTCGTCCCTCCAAGCACCCAGGTGTGAGAAGCCTCATGCTGTCTGTCCCATTTGGAGTGAGTGCATCTCTGGCTTCGGCGACACCCGCATTAGTCTTCACATCTCACTGCTCCGGCCTGCCGCCGAGAGTCACCAATGCTGCATCTGCTTCCACCAGTGGGGAATCTGGAGCAGGATTTCTCTGGCTCTCCAGAGGGCTAAGAGCAAGAGTAGCTGCAGTAACCGGGTCAGATGAGGGTCTCATAGCCTGGGTGGTTATAAAAACAAGCTGGTACTGCTAGTGTGGATGGGGATCTGTTCTCACGAGCAGTCCCGTTGGCTTTGTAAGAACATAAGAGCAGCCACACGGGATCAGACCAATGGTCCACCTAGCTCAGCATCCAGTCTTCCAACTGTGGCCAATACCAGGTGCTTTAGCGGGAATGAACAGAACAGAGAAATTATTGAGTGATTCATCCTCTGCTGTCTAATCCCAGCCTCTGGCAGTCAGAGGCTTAGGGATACCCAAAGCATGGGATTACATCCCTGACCATCTTGGTTTATAGCCATTGACGGACCTATCCTCCAGGAACTTCTCTAATTCTTTTTAAAACCCCGTTGTACTTCTGGCCTTCACATCATCCCCGGGCAACAAGCGCCACAGGTTGACTGGGCATTGTGTGAAGTATTTCCTTATGTTTGTTTTAACCTGCTGCCTATTAATTTCATTGGGTAACCCCTCGTTCTTGTAATACATGAAGGGGTAAATAACACTCCTTATTTACTTTCTTCATGCCATTCTTCAATGAGCACCATAGGAAGGGAAAAGGATGGTCCAGAGCTTAGGACACTAGCTGTGGTTTGGGGAGACGTGGGTGCAATCCCCTGCTCTGCAACAGACTTCTTGTCTGATCTTGGGTATGTCACCTAGCCTCTCTGTGCCTCAGTTCCCTGTTAGCACGATGGGGTTAATAGCCCGGCCCTGCCTCGCCTCACAGGTATGTTGGGCTGTGAGGATAAATACAATCAAGATTGTGAGGTGCTCAGATACCATAGTGATGGGGGCCACAGACGTCCCTAAGCTCAATAGTATCTGGGACAGTAGTAACTTGTCCAAATCCATCCAGTGTGTAGGTAGCTGAGATAGAAAACTCCAAAGGATGCTCCCCCTATATGCAGAGTTAAGCGACGATCAGTCATTGTTGTTAAATAAATAAATGGGTGTAAAATATTTTCTCTCCTTATCCATCTATTATTATCCATTTGACTGAGATCCAGAGAGGCATTATATATATTTTGGGGCTGTAAATTAACTGCAGTTAACTCAAGCAATTAACTCAAAAGAAATTAACTTGATTAAAAAAATTAATGATGATTAAAAACATTCATCATGATTAATCAGTTTTAATCCCACTGTTAAATAATAATAGAATACCAACTTAAATTTTTGATAAATATTTTTGGTTGTTTTTCCACATTTTCAAATATATTGATTTCCGTTACAACACAGAATACAAAGGGTACAGTGCTCACTTTATATTATTTTTAATTACAAATATTTACACTGTAAAAAAGATAAACAAAAGAAATAATATTTTTCAGTTCACCTCATACCAGTACTGTAGTACAATCTCTGTATTGTGGAAGTGCAACTTACAAATGTAGGAATTTTCTTTGTTATATAACTGCACTCAAAAAAAAAAAGTCAAACTTCAGAGCCTACAAGTCCACCCAGTCCTACTTCTTGTTCAGCCAATTGCTAAGATACACAGGTTTGTTTACATTTGCAGGAGATAATGCTGCCCATGTCTTATTTACAATGTCACCTAAAAGTGAAAACAGATGTTCACATGGCACTTTTGTAGCTGGCATTGCAAAATATTTACGTGCCAGATACGCTAAACATTCGTACGCCCCTCATGCTTCGGCCACCATGCCATTCTGTACATTTTGTATTCTGCGTTGTAATTGGAATCAAGATATTTGAAAATGTAGAAAACATCCAAAAATATTTAAATAAATGGTATCCTATTATTGTTTAACAGGGCGATTAAAACTGCAATTAATCGTTTGACAGCCCTAATATATTTACAGCTTCATTCATATCTTCCAAGGAGAATATCACTGCTGGTCCATCACTTGCTGATTGAACGCTGCTTCCAGAGGAGCATCTATTTGCTGAACTGTGATTCCTGCTAACCCAGGGAAGCAATGGTCGGACTGAAGCCCACAGAAATCCCTCCAACTGCTACTGTTAAGTTCCTGGGTGCTGGGACAGCAGCATGCATAGCAGATCTCTGCACCTTCCCTCTGGACACTGCGAAAGTCAGACTGCAGGTAAACGTTCTTGTTGGTATTACTATAGTACAAGGATACTGGGACTCAGCTGTGTCAGGCACAATGTATAGATGCGTAGTGGGAGACAGTTCCTGCTCCAAAGAGACAACAGTCGAAATAGTCAAGACAAAGAGATTTGTTCTGAGTCATATAGCAGGTCAGCAGCAGAGCTGGGCACAGAATCGAGCGCTCCCAAGTCCCAATCCAAGTCCCAATCCTCTGACCCATGTGGTCTCTCAAATTGAGTGAAAGGCATTTTATATTAAATCATTGGACAAATCCAGCGCTTGCTGAGAAACAGACTAGGTCTTTTTTCCTCCCATCTGTTACCTTTAAGGGTCAATCCAATTCCCATTAAAAGTTAATGTAAAGACATCAGCGGGAGTTGGATCAGGCTCTAACATATCTGGTTTGATTTCAGATGATGTTTGTTGTGTACCCTGCAAATCTGTGGGTGCCTAGAGACGTCTCCGTAGTATTCTTCTCAGCAAGTCCAGGTTGTTTTTCTGCTGTAATGTGATTAACGGAAACCACGGATAACTTTTTTTACAGACATGACTTGACTATAGTTCTGAGTGAAATCCACCCCATGCAGAGGCCCCAGCACAAGAGCTAGGGACCACTTAAGAGAGCAGAACCTCAGCCGGGGTAGACTGTCACTTGGAAGTCAATGAGCCTGTGAGAGTTTACCCCAGCTGAGGATCTGCCCCAAGCCCTCAAAGTGGATCTGAAATGGTACCTAGGCCTTGTGTTGTCCCCCTGCACCAGGGTGAATTTCACCCTCTTTGCATTGATATTGGAGAACATTTTCTATCTGATCTCAAAGCACTTTACGAACATGAATTAATTTAGCCTCCCACCATCACTCTGGCATTCTGGCCAAATTCCATCATTGATAATTACATCTAGGCTACTTATGTGCTCCACCATTTTCAGCTGGATACGGTAGGCCTCTTCAGTTCCTGACTTGATTTGGCCTGTAACGTTGCTGTAGACTGATAAACAGCTGCCACACTCTACCCCAGAGGTGGCTGCATTTCAGTGGTGAGCAAAGAGATGACGACGGTATATCGCTTGCACAGTCCTTTTGCAAAGTGCTTTGGTATCCAGCTGGATGGAATCTGATGTGTAAATGTATGACAATTATAGCCTTGCAACTAGTTCACTGATCAAAAACGCAACTGCAGGTTGAATGCATATATAAATGACAATTTAATACCTTCCTAGCTCAGTACATGCCCCAAACTACCATGAACTGAGCTTACAGCTTATGAACTCTCCTAGCTAATGGGCCCATCTCTGCAAACCCTTACTCATGGATGACTTTACTTGAACTACTCACATGAATAAAGGTTTCAGGAGCAGGATCTAGCTGGCTGCACTAGAGGTGAATTGCCATCTGCTAATAATGATGTCTGTCTGTCCGTCTTGAAGATCCAGGGAGAGTCCAAGCCTACCAAGAGCATGAAGACCATCCACTATAAGGGTGTCTTTGGCACAATCACCACCATGGTGAAGACGGAAGGTCCCAAGAGCCTTTACAATGGCCTGGTGGCTGGGCTCCAGCGTCAGATGAGCTTTGCTTCCATTCGTATTGGGCTGTACGACTCCGTGAAACAATTCTACACCTCCACGGGATCGGAGAGTGAGTGTTGGCACCACATGCTTCCAGAGGCGGTGTTCTCAGCCTCTATTTCAGAACGTCGAGCCACATCCTCAGCTGGCGTGAATCAGCTCATGGAAGTCAATGAACTACATGAATGGAGCTACGCTGATTCACACCAGCTGAGGCTCTGGCCCATTGTCCTAGATGTTGCCACTTAAAAAAAAAAATTACAGGCAACCAGTCTTTAGAGTGAGCTGAATAACCTGAGATCCCAAATGACGAATGGGGTAAACATGCTACACGTAGGATCCCAGTCTCATCCAGGTCCTGCAGTGCCCTGAGCACAGCTAAACTAGATGTTTGAGCACTTGCTTTGGGGCATGATCAGACACCTCAATGTCTTCTTGATAGCCACTGCCCCGTCAAACAATGGCAGGCCCAAAAATCCAGGCCAGGTTTAAAGAGCGTGGTCCTTCCCATTTAAAAACTACATATTAGAACCAAATGTGTGACAAGCAGTTCCCTCCCTTTGGAGCCAGAGTCTGCAGCTGGATCAGCGTGGGGGCGGGAGGCCTAGGTCAGTGTTGTCAGAGTGCAAAGGGACGGTGTAGTGGGACAAGGTGAGCAGGGCCTTCTCTTACCCTACTCACAACCTCCTGATGGTTGCTATTTCCGGTGCTGCTCAGCACCTCTAAAAACCAGACCAGGAGAGTTTAAAGTTGGGCATCCAGAAAACTAAGGCCAACCCCCAAATTAGAGGCCACCTGAAAAGTTAGGCTAAGTGACTTCCCCAAGGCCATGCAGGGAGTCGGCCTTCGCCTATGGCCTCAGTGCTGGATAGAGGGAACGTGCTCGCGCCCAGTCCTAGCAAGGGGGATGAAAGGCACTCTGGTTTAGTGGGGAGGCTGAGAAAAACTCAGCTCTGTGCGTTGCTACTTAGCTGTCGATCCTAGAGACAAACCAGAGATTGCTACCCAGTTTATTCGCTCCCATTCAGATGCCGGTATTCTCACCCGGTTGCTGGCTGGCTGCACCACCGGAGCCATGGCAGTCACGTGTGCCCAGCCGACCGACGTGGTCAAGGTGCGATTCCAAGCCCAAGTGAGGCTGACGGAGGGAACCAAGAAATACAGCGGGACTGTGGATGCCTACAAAACCATCGCCAAGGAGGAAGGGGTCAGAGGCCTCTGGAAAGGTACAGGATTTATCTGTGTGGAGCGAGAGAGCCTCCCAGACCAATCGCCCGCTGGTGTAAAGCAGGGTGGCTCCACTGAGGTCAGTCTCTGGAAGTCAATGGAGCTGCGCCAAATTACACCAGTTAAGAATCTGGGCCCAGCGCCTCAAAAGTGTATAGGCCCCTAATTCCCATGGCCCTTAGTGAACAGAGCAAGCCCAGCTAACAGAATTCAGCTCTGGCCCCTCGGGTTCTGCAGATATCCCTGGAGGACAGGGCCAGCTGGTTTTAGAGTGGCCATGCGACAGCTCTGGCAGCAGGTCCATGTGACCAGACAGCATTCCCTTCCCTGCTTCCCAGATCTTCATTTCTGCTCCAGCACAGTGGGGAGGAGGCCTGCTCCTCTATCCTGGGGCTGGCTGCCCCTGTGCAGGTTAGGGCAGCCCTAAAAGGGCTTAAAATAGGACCTGAGTGGTACCTAACCCTCATCCTGGCTCGGCACAGGCTGGGACTTTCATGTATAATCCACTGTGTAGTATTTTTAAGGTGAGACAAGAGAGAGGGATGCATTTCCCAGACTGGCTCATCCCAGCATAAGCCACAATAAACACACTGACTATTAGACCCAAAAGGGCAGATCACAACCAATCACGGACCAGAGCAAACCAAACCAAAATGCCACCCCCCTCCCAAATGTGGGGGCTGGTTGGTCAGAAAAAGGAAATTGAGGTGCTCTATTCAGGCCCTGCTCACAACCCCCGACTCCACCCCGACCCCAGAATAGTGGGATGCTTCTGCCCAAATGATCAGAGATTAAATCATTAACAATGTTGACATAAAATCATCATTAGCGTCACCACTCACCTGCGATGGATGGGGGACACATCCCATCCAGGGCAAGGGTGAATGTCCTTTTTCCTCTTGCATCACAGAAGTAAGGTTCATGGCGAGCCCACAGACCTGCAATAAACAGGTTTGCCTCATCACTTACTCTCTCCCCATTTCCTTGTGTGCTCGAGATGGAATGGTGATCCAACTATCCGAGCCCAGCACTGAGTCAAGGGCTCTCAGGTTCCATTGCTTGCTCTGCCATTGAATTGCTGTGCAACTCTGGACTTCTCTCTCCCCAGCTGTATAATGGGGATAATGAGTCTTGGCCACTTTTGTAAAGTGCTTTGACCGCTGTGGATAAATAATGCCATGTAATGGCAAGTATTATTCTTATTATCCCTTAAAATCCTGGTATCATAGAACTCCTGTTACCTAGCAGAGCTCCTTTAGGCACAGGTGTAATAAACACGATTAATAATAATACAGTCATGGTCATCACCAGCCCTACTCTGCTTTCAGAAGAGCAGTGTGATCTCGTAGGGTCAGAGTCACTCTCTAAACCATTCATCCTTTGCGTCTTTTGCCTCAGGGACGTTACCCAACATCACCCGCAACGCCATCGTGAACTGCGGAGAGATGGTTACCTATGACCTCCTCAAGGAGATGCTGCTGAAATATCATCTAATGACAGGTGAGGAGGGGACCAAGGCCTTGAGTGAGTGAGGGTGTCCTTCCTTCTTCCTTTCCGTCTGGGGAGCCTGGTGGTTAGAGCTCTGTCTCACTGAGCCCTCTCCATTGCTTCTCCTTCCCTGATGGCCTTCCACAATGGGTCATCCTCATTCTGCAAAGAGGGCTGTAGCCAGCTACCAATGCTGCTTCAGACATCAGGTGGAGGTTTCAGCAGCATGGTGGTAAGGATGGTCTAGTACAGAGCACTAGACCTTAGAAGACATAAGACCTATTCGCAGCTCTGCCACAAACTCCCTGCATGACCTTGGGCAAGTCACTTAGGGCCAGATTTTCAAAGGGATTCAGGCACCTAGGGGTGCAGATGGGCAACTAGTTGGATTTCCAAAAACCCCCATTGGGAGTTAGGTGCCTACACGCTTTAGGCAATCCCACTACATGCCTAAATCCCTTTGGGAACCTGGCACTTAGGCCCATATTTTCAGAAGTACTCATTGATTTTACGTACTTCAGTTTGGGGGCATCCAGCTTGGGGCATCTTGGGCCTGATTTTCAGGGGTGCGGAGACCTCGCAGCTCTCATGGACTTCAGCTGGCATTACAACTGGCTCTGTAGCTTTGAAAATCAAGCCCAAAGAGTCTCAAGGTATGTGTCCCAAAGTTAGTAGCAAACCTCCCATGGCTCCGTTTCCCCCATGTGGGGAATGGAGATACTTACCACTCTCTCGGGGAGAGGATCAGTTTATTGATGTCTGTAAATTGAACTGAGGTCCTTGGGTGGCATGCGCTCTAGCTGGGCATGGCACTGATGACTAATTGCAAGTGGCTCGTAAAGGCGAAATCATCCCGTTGGCAATGGAAAATTCCACTACCCCAAAACCCATTACCCATATTCCACCCCCAGACACTTTTCCTTGCCATTTCGTCGCTGCTTTCGGAGCTGGGTTCTGCGCCACTGTGGTGGCTTCTCCCGTCGACGTCGTGAAGACGAGATACATGAATTCCACCCCCGGCCAATACAGAAATGCCTTGAACTGTATGCTCACCATGGTGATCCTGGAAGGACCCACAGCATTTTACAAGGGGTAAGCGGCGCTTAAGCACTGAGACAGCTACAAATCTGTATCCAGGCCTGTACCATGCCTATAGCCTACTCAAGGAGCAGCGCAGGTGTTCCTGCAACAAGTCTACAGAGGAGACTGACAGTGACAGAGCACTGGGCTGAGAGTCAGGAGACCTGGGTTCTCGTCCTCGCTCTACTACAGCTCGTGTGACCGTGGGCAAGTCACTTTGGGCCAGTTTTTCCAAAGCAGCCTCTAATGGGTGGCTTGGTCCGTGGCCCCTCAGCCTGCGATTTTCAAAGGTGATAAGCAGCACAGGGCAGGGCAACTCCACCTCTAGTTCCCCTCAGTGATCCCGCAAGGGCCCGCTCAGAGGCTTCCGGCTCCCCTGGCTGTCCCCTCTCTTGGGTGGAGATGCATCTCTTTCCCTTCTGCTAGGCGGAGCTGTTCCCTGCCTTCACTGTGTTATTCCCAGCCTGCCCAAACAGGCCTGCTTGCTTTCTCTTCAGAGATGCTTAACAGTGTGATGGCCCCGGTTATAGATATCCCACCGCTCTTTCTGTGCACGTCTATTTTATTCTTGAGGTAAAAGCACTACAGAGAAAACACATTAAAAACAAGGGAAGAACCTGCACACATGCTAAGAAGCTCATCAGAGATCACCCCAGCCCTTGCATGGGCTCGGGCAGGAGCAGTCCTGCAACACCCCACCCATGGGGTTTCCTTGGAGTTTCAAGTTCATCACAGCTTTACCTCAGAAAAAGCGCCCAGTCGGCCCAACCCTCCCCAAAGGACTGGGGCCTCCGCTTGCTGAATCAGGAAGACGGCCCTGAGCCGGTTTGTAACAGGCTATTTATCCCCAAACCCTTCCTTTGTCTGTGGGTCCTGGGGAATCCCATCTGAACTCCACTTCCCTGGGGTAGCTCCAAACACCCAGCTGGAGGAATGACATTAGCATCCTCCTCCTCCTCGAGGAGCACCACACAGTGCCACAGACACCATTGCCTTTTTAACACAATGCCCCCAAAGGCGTTAACCCTCATCCAGTCTGCTATCCACTTATCTTCATTCCACAAGGTTGGTCCAGGACATTGTCAGTCTGTCCCATAAGCACCTGTTGGCTTCAGCTGGCTTGTGGTGGATGCTTAGTACCTTTGCAGAGCAGGCGTGAGGCTCTCACCACGGGCATCTGAAACACAAGACGCCCAGAAGCTTTTACAACATGGGAGCCTGGAGCTCTCTGCTCCTCCACTTCCCTGTGTGTAAAATGGGGAGAATTATACCTACCCAGCTCCGTAAAGTTCTTTGAGATCTGCAGCTGATGTGTGCAAGGGCCCAGATGCTCACAGGTATAGAGAGGCGCCTGACTTCCATTGACATCAGTGGGAGTTTGGTGCCTTTGCGAATCTGGGCCTAGACCAGGGCTAAGTATTACAGATTATTAGTCTGGTTTCATATTCTGCTGTGCTTGCGAAACACGGGAAAGAGTCGAGCCCACCTGACTCGGTCTCATTATTTACAGAGCACCATATGTGCGCAGAGCAACTGGTAAGGTGTCTCCAGCCAGGGGTGGGTGCCATGTCAGGTCAGGCAGGAATCAAGGCTACTGTTAAAGAATAGGAGTGGCAGGGGGAGCTGTCTGAAGGTGTGTGATGCCAAGCAGGAGAGAACAGAGGGGAACCCATGGATAGCAGGGATCATGAGGGAGCTAGTGGATGGGGGATCCACCAGCCAAGGGCAGGAAGAGATACAGCTTGTTGTTGGTTGCCAGGGGCATGGAGTACCCTGGCTGGGGATGAAGGGGAAATTCCTTAGCCTCTATGCTATTGGATCTCTTAATATCTATTGTCCCCTCCCTCAGGTTCATGCCCTCATTCCTGCGGCTGGGATCCTGGAACGTGGTGATGTTTGTGACCTACGAGCAGCTGAAACGCGCCATGATGCTGGCCCAGGAGACGTGGGCATCTCCATCCTAAGCCCCAGGGAGGTCTCTGGGATGAGACGACAGAGGACAGCATGGGGGCTCCCATGGATTCTCCTCTCCCAGGCAAAGCTTGCAGAGCTGGCTCTTGCTGCTGAACTTTGACTGGGACATACGCTCCCAGCCACTGAGGTGGGGGCATGCAGCTTTGGATGGACTGTCCGGAGACAGCTGGCTTTTCAAAACCCACTTGTCACAATTGGTGAGATGCCAACGTAAATTACGTTATTTAAACATGCCCAAGGGATGCACGATATTGAAGTGACAAAAAAGGACTCGAAAAAACAAAACCATCAATGAAGCCAAACTTTAGTAAAGCTTTCGATACGGCCTCTGAGCTCTTTGAACCATCTTGGATCCAGGTGCTGCCATGTGGACAGGAAACTGGAGCATAATCCAAGGGTGATGATAGAGGGCCAGGTACACTCTGACGGATGGGAGAGCAGTTTGATGGGGAAGCACAGGGGTCAGGATTAGGTTTAGTCTTATTAACTATCTTCAGAAGGAATAAACAGCTTTCATGAGTGATAGCAAATAGGGAGGAAATTGCCAATGTAGTTAAAGAAAGTGATCGGGGCTTAGCTTTTTACAGATTGGTGGGTTCTTTACCCAAGTGGGTTTTTCTGCTTAACTCTAGGCGCCACTTTTTCTCTGGACTTTTTATTTTCATGGCGCACGCGGCATGGTCCATGCTCTGCCCCCTGCCCAGCCTGATGACACAAACCCTGCCCCATGCTGCTCTCTAGCCCTGGCCCCCCACCAGTTGCGCTGGTTTTTAGAAAATTTTATGCTTATTTCTTTAAGTTTTCTGGCAAGCCACAAGATCAGAGCAATAACTCAAAGGAACTTAGAGACACTTGGGACATGGGAAGAAATAAATAGTCAAAAAATGTTCATCCAAACTTTTTGAAGAAATGGAAATTTTTGCAAAAAAAACAATTGTTTTTGTCAAAAAAAATTGTGGGTTTTATCAAAACAATAGTTTTTTGGGGGAAAAAACCTTAAAAATCTTCTAATGGAAATAGTCATTTCCTGACAGCTCTAGAAAGAAATACCCCAATGAGATTCAAGGTGGGTTCAATTCCTTGGTCTGCTGCGGATGCGGGGATAATTCTTCCTGAGCCTCACAGGGGTGTGGTGAGGTGCTCAGATGTTACTGTGCTGGGGGCCGGGAGCTGGATAACACCATCGAGGGGATGATTTGGTAAGGGTGGTCTGAGAGGAGTAGGTAATGGGGAGGGGATGAAATTAAACCAAGGAAAACGTAGGAGGAAAATCAGGAAAGGTTTCCTAACAGTGAGGGTCAAGATTGGCTCCCAAGTGGTGGAAGCCCCGTCCTTCAAGTTGTTTAAAGGTAGGCTTGGTCTACACGTAGAAATAGTGCTAGCCTAATTATATTGAATAGAGACAAGTTGTCAAGGTTCCTTCCCCACTCTGAACTCTAAGGTACAGATGTGAGGACCTGCATGAAAGACCCCCTCAGCTTATTCTTACTAGCTTAGGTTAAAAACTTCCCCAAGGTACAAACTTTGCCTTGTCCTTGAACAGTATGCTGCCACCACCAAGCGTTTTAAACAAAGAACAGGGGAAGAGCCCACTTGGAGACTTCTTCCCCCCAAAATATCCCCCCAAGCCCTACACCCCCTTTCCTGGGGAAGGCTTGATAATAATCCTCATCAATTGGTACAGGTGAACACAGACCCAAACCCTTGGATCTTAAGAACAATGAAAAATCAATCAGGTTCTTAAAAGATGAATTTTAATTAAAGAAAAGGTAAAAGAATCACCTCTGTAAAATCAGGATGGTAAATACCTTACAGGGTAATCAGATTCAAAACATAGAGAATCCCTCTAGGCAAAACCTAAAGTTACAAAAAGACACAAAATCAGGAATATACATTCCCTCCAGCACAGCTTATTTTACCAGCCATTAAACAAAAGGAAATCTAACGCATTTTCTAGCTAGATTACTTACTAACTTAACAGGAGTTGGCAGGCTTGCATTTCTGATCTGTTCCCGGCAAAAGCATCACACAGACAGACAGACCCCCCGCTTTGAAAGTAACTTGTCTCCTCATTGGTCATTTTGGTCAGGTGCCAGCGAGGTTACCCTAGCTTCTTAACCCTTTACAGGTGAAGGGGTTTTGCCTCTGGCTAGGAGGGATTTTATAGCCCTGTGGACAGAAAGGTGGTTACCCTTCCCTTTATAGTTGTGACACAAGTCAACACCTGGAAGGCTTTACCGGCACAGGTATACCAGCGTACTAGATCAGCAAAGCGCTCTTAATGTGGAGGCAGCAAAATTATGCCTTGGCAGCGTAGCTTATTCCAGTGCCCCCAGCTCTCCTCCCAGCTAAATCACTGGCCAGCAAAAGCCCCACCGCAGATACAGTTTTACCAGCAAAAAAAGTCCTGTTGCTCGTATAGTTGATTTTCTTTGGAGAACAGGTATCAGGTGTACTGGGAAAAGAACTCTCTTGCTGGTCTACCGGCATAGCTCTACTGGCAAACCCTTTGCAATGTAGCCAAGGCCTTAGATTGGATTATTCACTGATTAATAGACTTTAGGGAACAAGCCCAGTGAAAGGACCAACCAGCTGGGACCTGCCAGGTCTTTTCCATCTCTGGTCTCTGTATGATTCAACCAGCCCAGCTGATGTGCCGGGAAGCAGAAGTGGGATAAATAATGCAAAAGAAACGCCTACCAAGACACAGGTAACTTTAGATCCTCTCTCCCTCCCACAGAGCCGACCGCCCACAGATGGATCTGCAGCAGGACACCGGCCCGAGCTGCCTGCGGTGCATACTAGTCAGTGTTCTGGAGCTGCACTGAGAGGGAATTATTGGAGGAGTATTGCCCGCCTCACCTGGATCACTTGTGTCACAGGGGACAAGTGGCCATTAAACTGTGTCATGGTTATTGCTGCCTTGCAGCCATTGCTAATAAAAGGACTCAGACAGCCCCCAGGGGATCTCGTTGCAGGTCTCCTGTCTTTTCTTTGGCAGATTTAGTCCTTTCTCTCTTTTTCCGATCTGGCCCATGCTGAAAGGTCTGTGGTGCAAACCCAGAGGGGACAGCTGAGGGATCTAAGCATCGGGTTAGAAATACCTAGAATGATCCCAGTGCTTGAATCCGAGTGGGATCAGCTCACCCTGCATCTTTCTGAGCTGGACGAATGAGCCCCCGTGCTTCACCGAAAGCACTAATCTGAGACCAAAGCAACAGCATCGCTCTGGTCAATGAACGACAATGGCAACTACAGCAGGCAGGCCCCCACCCGAGCAGTGGAGTGGAATTTACCCCGGTCCAGGTGCAGAAACCTTGTGCTGAATTTCCCCTTCAGTGCTGAGCTCACAGGAGTGATTTGGGGAAGTCTCATCCAGCAGCACCGGCCCCTTTCCAGTTTCCTTGGTTCACATCCTAAAGGATCAACAAGGGACACACGGTCAGTCTTTTAAAAACACCCTTCACAGGTCACCTTTAACTGTCCCGGTGGAGCAGTTAATGGCATCCCAAATGATACAGGGCTTTGCAGAGCAGAATCACCAGCTTGAGCTACACCTAATAGCAACGCTAACTCAGAGCTTGCAGCCAGAGCAGGGCATCCCTGTGCAGTCAGTACAAGGTTTATGCAGCACTCATCTGGGATGGATGCACCCTCCAGGCCAAGTGGGATACATGCTGCATACCCTGCGGTGATTTGCTGCGCAGAGGTGAATTTCGCCCTCCGTGCACAGCTGCTCTGTAACCACAGCCCCATGCTCTTTGCAAGCACTGAAATTCATAACACATAAAGATTAGCCCAGCACAGCCCACTGGTGCAGACACAGCCTACCCAACGGGTGGAGTTTTTCTGTCGGTGATCTGTCGGTGCAGGAACACCACCTCCCACCATGACATTAGCTATGTCAACAGAAGCATTCTTCCATTGACATAGCTGCATCAACCCTGGGGGTTAGGTGGGCATCAGTCGGGGTGTTTTCTTCATACCCCTGACTGATGTAGCTCTGCTGATATAACTTTCAAGGGCAGACCAGGCCTTAGATCAGTGGCTCTCAACCTTTCCAGGGTACTGTACCCCTTTCAAGAGTCTGATTTGTCTTGCCTACCCTAAATTTCACCTTACTTAAAAATTACTTGCTTACACAAGCAGACATAAAAATACAGAAGTGTCACAGCCACACTGTTACTGAACGATTGCCGACTTTCGCATTTTTACCATATAATTATAAAATAAACCAATTGGAATATATTGTGCTTACATTTCAGTGTATCGTATATAAGTCATTGTATGAAATTTTACTTGGTACTGACTTCGCTAGTGCTTTTTATCTAGCATGTTCTAAAACTAGGCAAATACGTAGATGAGTTGATGTACCCCCTGGAAGACCTCTGAGTACCCCTGGTTGAGAACCACTACCTTAGATACTACAGTGACGGGCACAATAGAAAACTCTAAGACAGATACATCAACATTCAATTCTACTTCTAACTGGACTATGATTATAGCATTAAAGAATTAAGCCACACCAGAGTGTGTCTTTTATTGCTGCCCTCTTCTGCAGCGGTGGGAAGCAATATAACAGATAGCATCAAACCATTCAAAGAAGCATTGAGGAGTTAACAGATGTGATGGGATCTGGTCCCTTTTCCTTGTGGAGCAAAGTGATGCTTTTTAGAAGGTTTCTTCAAAATGTAGCAGTGGGGGGATATTTTGGCTAAAGCTAAGCAAAGCACTAGTGAGTCCCAGCTCATTTGTGGCGCTTTTCAGTGATCAGTCCCCAGATGTGAGCCTCTGGGTGTTGGAGCCAACCAGCCAATCAGAACACTAATTCTGAGGCAGAGGTTGGGTCAGAGACTTATACGTTGTCCAGCCCTTCTGGTTATAAAGGGAACCTTCAAATGCAACCACTGCCTTTTAGGGGATCAGGAAAGAGAATGAAACAGCACAAAGAAATGAGAACACTCCTTATGCAACCCAAAAGGCTGTTCATTGTCAAGCCTCAGACTTCATGAGCCCTTGTTCATCTTGACAATGCTGATCCATGGACCAGGAAACTCCAGCTCATTTTGTCCCATTATCGTGTCCTGATGGTGCAGTCGTTTGACAGGCTATTTCATAGGACTGATTGGAATATGCAAATGATTGAATATTCCTTTGAGGATTCAGGTAATTAAAACAATTGCTACTGTTCTTAACGACTGGGTGGAAAGGCCAATAGTCTCAAATTTGTGAATGCAGCTAAGGCACTCGAACTGATTAAAGAGTGTCCACACTGGCATGGATTTAACTGAATGAATGTAGAAACCAATTTAGTTAAACTGGCGCCATTTCTGGATGTAGAGCAGGGCGAGGCATCTAAAGTGAGGCACCCAAATCCATACTTAGGCATCTAAAAAAGCAACTAGGTGCTGAACGCATGCAGTTCATATTGTCTTCCACCTTTATGTCAGGGCTGATTTTGGTCCAAGCTCAATGAAAAGGTTCACAGATGTCCCAAAATCATTTTGTTTTTCAGGGATTGGTCTTAGCAGGGGTTGTTTCTGGTGATTAGAAAGATGCAGTTAGTTGAACATAAGCCTCCACTTCTTGCCTGTGTCTCATGTAACATGAGACAAATCATTTTAAATGGCTAACAGAATCTTACCTCCATTTTTCAGGCAATTCTGTAACAGCAATCCCCTGGAAACCGATCTTTCCCAGACCTCTTAAACAGGGAAAGTGCGTGAGCAAATAAATCCTCTCCACTTGGAAGATACCCGATTAGGACTGTGTTTTGACCAAGGGTTATTTGAGCCACAGAAGCTCAGCCAAAAGCACAGTCGAGAAATAAGAACAGCGTGGGTGCATTTTATAATTGAAGAGACTGACGGAAAACAGAGAGATCTTATCCCATAAGGATGAATTGTATAGAAAGGAGGGTACATTTGGGAAGTCTCCATAGCATAGACTGCAAAAAGAAAAGGAGTACTTGTGGCACCTTAGAGACTAACCAATTTATTTGAGCATGAGCTTTCGTGAGCTACAGCTCACTTCATCAGATGTTTACCGTGGAAACTGCAGCAGACTTTATATACACACAGAGAATATGAAACAATACCTCCTCCCACCCCACTGTCCTGCTGGTAATAGCTTATCTAAAGTGATCAACAGGTGGGCCATTTCCAGCACAAATCCAGGTTTTCTCACCCTCCACCCCCCACACAAATTCACTCTCCTGCTGGTGCTAGCCCATCCAAAGTGACAACTCTTTACATAATCAAGTCGGGCTATTTCCTGCATAGATCAAGGTTTTCTCACATCCCCCCCACCCCCATACACACACAAACTCACTCTCCTGCTGCTAATAGCTCATCTAAACTGACCACTCTCCAAGTTTAAATCCAAGTTAAACCAGAACATCGGGGGGTGGGGGGGGTAGGAAAAAACAAGAGGAAACAGGCTACCTTGCATAATGACTTAGCCACTCCCAGTCTCTATTTAAGCCTAAATTAATAGTATCCAATTTGCAAATGAATTCCAATTCAGCAGTTTCTCGCTGGAGTCTGGATTTGAAGTTTTTTTGTTTTAAGATAGCGACCTTCATGTCTGTGATTGCGTGACCAGAGAGATTGAAGTGTTCTCCGACTGGTTTATGAATGTTATAATTCTTGACATCTGATTTGTGTCCATTTATTCTTTTACGTAGAGACTGTCCAGTTTGACCAATGTACATGGCAGAGGGGCATTGCTGGCACATGATGGCATATATCACATTGGTGGATGTGCAGGTGAACGAGCCTCTGATAGTGTGGCTGATGTTATTAGGCCCTGTGATGGTGTCCCCTGAATAGATATGTGGGCACAATTGGCAACGGGCTTTGTTGCAAGGATAAGTTCCTGGGTTAGTGGTTCTGTTGTGTGGTATGTGGTTGTTGGTGAGTATTTGCTTCAGGTTGCGGGGCTGTCTGTAGGCAAGGACTGGCCTGTCTCCCAAGACTTGTGAGAGTGTTGGGTCATCCTTTAGGATAGGTTGTAGATCCTTAATAATGCGTTGGAGGGGTTTTAGTTGGGGGCTGAAGGTGACGGCTAGTGGCGTTCTGTTATTTTCTTTGTTAGGCCTGTCCTGTAGTAGGTAACTTCTGGGAACTCTTCTGGCTCTATCAATCTGTTTCTTTACTTCTGCAGGTGGGTATTGTAGTTGTAAGAAAGCTTGACAGAGATCTTGTAGGTGTTTGTCTCTGTCTGAGGGGTTGGAGCAAATGCGGTTGTATCGCAGAGCTTGGCTGTAGACGATGGATCGTGTGGTGTGGTCAGGGTGAAAGCTGGAGGCATGTAGGTAGGAATAGCGGTCAGTAGGTTTCCGGTATAGGGTGGTGTTTATGTGGCCATTGTTTATTAGCACTGTAGTGTCCAGGAAGTGGATCTCTTGTGTGGACTGGACCAGGCTGAGGTTGATGGTGGGATGGAAATTGTTGAAATCGTGGTGGAATTCCTCAAGGGCTTCTTTTCCATGGGTCCAGATGATGAAGGTGTCATCAATATAGCGCAAGTAGAGTAGACTATTAGTCATTTTTAGTCTTTTTGCCTCTGGTGCCTGTTTTACACACACAACTCTAGTTGACATTGGTTTATGGTGCCACGTTTGTATCAAGGAGACAATCCACAAGGAAACAGAAGTGTACTCTGAGGATCTGGAATAACAGTGGAAATATGAATTTAGAGGCTGCCGGCTACACAGTCCCTTATCTCCATTCTGTCCCCTCCCTTTTCATTTTGTTTGGGGTTCCAAGTGAATTCCACGTTCCTGACAAGTGCTGGGTCCCCTACTGAACAATAGACCAAGGGAAGCAGCAGTGCAAGCTTCACCTGCAGGAGCATCACCTCCCACCTCCACAGCTGACTTGGAAAGGACCATTTCCGGGTTTCAAAGGAGCATCTATCCCCCATGTCTGTTCAGCCTTTTGGTTAGTATCACCATCTGGCTGGGGCCTCCAGCTGAAGTTGTATAGTCCCGAGCACTGGAGGTTTTGAAGAATAGCTTGGACAAACACCTGTGAGGTCTAGGTTTACTTGGTCCTGTCTCATTACAAGGGACGGGACTAGCTGACCTCTCATGGTCCCTTGGGTTCTTTGTCCACTGCATAGGCCACTGAGTAGCCATCAGATGGTGGCAACTCAGTGGTGGGAGGGATAGCTCAGTGGTTTGAGCTTTGGCCTGCTAAACCCAGGGTTGTGAGTTCAATCCTTGAGGGGGCCATTTATGGATATGGGGCAAAAATTGGGGATTGGTCCTGCTTTGAGCAGGGGGTTGGACTAGATGACCTCCTGAGGTCCCTTCCAACCCTGATAGTCTATGATTCTATGAACTTTGGGGGCCTACCAATCTACACCAAATCTGCACCAGTGCTGTAGAGCAAAAGACTTATTGTCCCACTAGCAGCCCCCTGAGCCAGCCAAGCCCCAGGGCAAAAAATTCCTGACCATTGTTTTATAGTTCTTTGCCGGATGTTTTCATTTTTGCTTGGTTGGTTGAACTCTCCCGCTGACTATGAGGAACCGAGAAAGAGAGAGAGGCCACACTCCATGTCAGGGTCAGTTAGTTTCTGACTTCAGCCGCAGCACTGGGGGGGCCAGGGGAGCAGCTGAGCAGGGCCTTTCCCTGCCAGGGACTTACTGCTTCCAGCTGGTTCACCTGTTCGCCTCAGGGACCGGTCGTCTTCTGCAACCTTTGATCGCCAACTCAGCTGTGCTGACAGATAACACTCGCCCCACCTCGCACCAGGGAGGGGCCATCAGCCTCCTAACCTTCATCAGCGCCCCTGCTGCTCCCAGCAAGGGGGGGATCCCTTCCTAGCACTGCTCCCCCATTGGCTAGGGCAGTGGGTGGGGGTAACGCGAGGGCAGGGAGTGGGGCGATCGGTGGGGTGGGGGTAACGCGAGGGCAGGGAGTGGGGCGATCGGTGGGGGGGTAACGCGAGGGCAGGGAGTGGGGCGATCGGTGGGGGGGGTAACGCGAGGGCAGGGAGTGGGGCGATCGGTGGGGGGGGGTAACGCGAGGGCAGGGAGTGGGGCGATCGGTGGGGTGGGGGTAACGCGAGGGCAGGGAGTGGGGCGATCGGTGTGGGGGGTAACGCGAGGGCAGGGAGTGGGGCGATCGGTGGGGGGGGGTAACGCGAGGGCAGGGAGTGGGGCGATCGGTGTGGGGGGGGGTAACGCGAGGGCAGGGAGTGGGGCGATCGGTGGGGGGGGGTAACGCGAGGGCAGGGAGTGGGGCGATCGGTGGGGGGGGGGGTTTGCGCCAGCTCGGTCGGGTGCGGCCGCCGGGGCGGGGCGGGGCGGCTGATGCCGGCTCCCGGGCGCTATAAAGCGGCAGCAACCGGCGTGTTCCTCCTTCTGCGACCGGTGCCGCTGCCCCCGTGTCTCTTCCTCGGACTCAGGTCAGTCCCCGCCCGGGGCGCCCCCCAGCCCGCCCGGGGCGCCGCAGACAGAGGCTCGGGCGCCTGGACGGAGCGGATCCCCCCTGGGAGCCGGCACCCTGGGTGGGCTCCGGCCCCTGCAGCGCTTCGCTGGCTCTGCCCGGGTGACCCGAGACCCGGGGGGCGGCGAGTTGCCCCGGGCCCCATTCGCTGTCGTGTCTTGCTGCGGGAGGGGCGCGGGGGGCTCCCCGCAGGGCGTTTTCTGGGGCGCAGCTGAACATCTGCAGCGCGCCGCCCCCGCCCGGAACCGGAGCGCCCCGCGGGGTTCCAGCCTCTGCCTGCGGGTAGGTGCTGGGGGGAGAGACTTCCCCGCGCGCCGAGAGGGTTTAGGAGCATCAAGACCCCTCGACCCTAAATCTCCCCGCACGCCTCCAGGGGACTAGCCCAAGTCCTGGCTCTCAAAGCAGGGCCATCTGCGGGAGACGACGCCCCCCACCCAGCGTGCCCAAGGATGGCCAGCTGTGGCTCGAAGTGACTGGCCTTGCGCTCGAAACCCCTGCTCCCACGGTAGAGACGAGCCAGGGGCTGAGCCGCAATCCCTGGTCCACACCGGGCACCAGACACGGGGCGGGCTTTCCTTGCTCTTGTCTTGGCTTTTTCATGCTGCCCGAAAAGCGCTTTCGGATCGCGGCCGGGCTCCGCTGCGTCTGACTCCGGGGGCCGCCCGAGCTGTAAACGCAGGTCGGTGTCTCCGCGCAGATCAACACGCGGCGGTTCCGCAGAGCGGCTGGACTGCGCTGCCTTTGCGCGTGGGCCGCAGTTCAGCTCCCGCTCCTGCGTCACTAGCCCATCTTGACTACGGGGAAAAACTCCGCCTGTAAAACGTACTTTGCTCCCATGTGTGCCCCCCTGCAGGCTAGGGAGTATGATTATCAGGTGTCTCGCTTCTAAACGACCGTCTATGGAAAACCAGGGGGATCAGATAGTCCTTGCAGTAAGCAAATTTGACGAGCGCGATACCTTCAGAGAACCCTGATCGAAGCGCAGTCGCCCTGAAATACTTGACTAAGGTAACGCTTCAATGTACCGTCTTCCCTAATGCTCTTCGGTTGCATCGATCAGGTTTGGCGGCGCTCTTGCCTCTGGGACTGAAGCCTGAGCATTAGTTTCATAAAACGAATTGGGCTAAGACCTAATTCTGGCTTGGTAGATCGGTGCTAGGTGCTGATCTGTTAAAGGGATCCTCTTCCAGGTGGGATTGTTAAATGGAGTCACCTGCTGAAATTAACTCCACAAAGAGCAGCCTAACCGGGTTTGAGGTTGGTGGTCTGATTGCAGTTGCTGATCACAAAATGAGGGCTGCATTACTGGTCTCTAAGTTGTTACACTGTAAATCTCTTTAATAGGTGAAGTCCATAAATCCAAAGTCTAATCTCCCGTGACTAGATGGCCGTATATGTGTCTAACTCTGAGAAATGGTCCTTCTGCAAGATCTTGGACCCCATGGTCTATCCTAGCTTGACCAGCAGCTGTGTTTCTAGAAGGACTTCAGAAGGCAGTAAAGCAGTGCCCTTCTCTCCCCCTTTTAACTGGTGGAAATATTCATTTAGGGCGGTAGTTACCCTGTTTAGGAGAGAGCTCTCCTAAGGAAACTCCTGCTGCATGGAGGGTGACTGGGTAACAGTCCTCCTTTCCTGTGGACAGGGTTACAATTGGGAACCCCACCCATGTAGGAAAATCTTAGTGAAGGCCAATGCAGATCCTGTCCACACTGGGACCAGAAATGGCCTACTCTAGCTACGACTGTGCTCAAGCGTGGTGGCTACTAGCAGGCTGTTACTGCCATGTGGCAACCACATCCTGGACAATGGCAGCTAGGTTTCTTGGCTAGTCACAGCCTAGCAACAAGTGCACCCAGTCAGATCTGAGCTCCATGCTCAGCTGATGCATGTTGTAGATACCCCCATCAGTCACTAGGACAACAGTCTTTCAGCTGACCAAAACAAGCCTTTAGAATCTAGCTGGGGATGGCGGGGTGGTGGTTAGTGACGTTACCCCCCAACTGGTGAAACACATCGCCTTCATCTCCAGCTTTCAGTGTGTGGGGGTTACCGGGCTTGACTTACACCAAATCCTGAATGGTGCCCTACCAGCACATCTGTCTCCTCTGCAGCTGGCTTTGCGCTGAGGCTGCACACCTCAGTCATGCATCCAGTGGCTTCATAAAAACCAAGTTGGAAGAACTCGCCTCCTGTTTTTTAAGGAACTAAAAATGTCATTACCGTTGAATGAAAACCTGACCAGACCGACCCAGAATGCAGGCTCGGTTAGTGATGAAATTGCCTGCTAATCCGCCTCAACTCCCTCAAACTTGTGGTGTTAAACACATGATGGTTGCCTAGTGACAACTTCCCTATTTGCAGCATTTCTAAAACTCCTGCTCCAAGTGGGGAAATGGACTGCTCAGGGCAGGTTTTGCATGGCCCAGATAATAAACACAAATGTACCAAATGCTGAGTACTACCTACTTCAGTACTGCCTAACCTCTAAGGAACAGTATTTGGTGAGGATCTGTGTGTCTCTCTCACCCCCAACCCAAGAGGTGGGAAATGCACACAGGATAGGTTAAATTTAGGTAGCCGGCTAGTCACCTATTTAAGCAGCAATGCCTTAACGCTTCTCCATGCCAGATATTTAAATGTATTTAATCCAAGTTTAGCATGGAAGCCAAATTGAGAAGGCAGTGTGGTCTAGTGGTTAGAGCAGGGAATGTATAGCCAGGTTTCCTGTGTCTCCTAGCCTCAGATCTGCCATAGATTCTGACTCAATTTGCCCATCTGAAAAATGGGTGTTATGAATGGCAAAAGCCCCCTGCCTGCGGATAGAAGCATCTCTTCTTGGAATACATGGGCATTGCTTGTATCCCGTGATGGAGAACCAGATGCCAGGGATGGAGCGTTGCTTAATGTGTGTGGTGATCCTTGCCTGATGTAATGTAGAAAGCGGTAGGGTGTGGCCCAGATTTTAGAGCTCTGTTTATCGCTCTTGTTTCTGTCCCATCTAGACTGGGACAGAGTCCATTTGTCTTGCCCTTTGCTACATCGGAACGCAACTCGCTTCCTTTCCACTCCTCGTGCGCACTTGGCTTTCCAGAGCAGCTCAGAAGCTTGCAAAATGGTTGGATTCAAGCCCACCGATGTCCCCCCGACAGCCATGGTGAAGTTCCTAGGGGCTGGGACAGCCGCATGCATAGCCGATCTGATCACCTTCCCCCT